TCTATACATATTTGTCTAGGTTTGCTATTTTCTAAATAACTCTAGATAATTATTCTTAAGTATTTCGTCTTATAAACTTCGAATTCGTATTTTTCTATATTAAGTTATAGTCTAGTAATAGCTAATCTGCTTAGTACTATCTTTACATATTAATAGTGCTCTTTTAGTAAGTTACTAAAGATTAGGATATTATTAAGATATACTAAGACGAATTAGTCTAGAATATCTTTTCTTAAGGCATTATTAATATAGTTCTAAAAGAAGGCTAAAGCATTATAAAGGCTAAAAAAGACTATATTCTATTTATATAAGCTTATACATATATAGAAGGCTGTTTTTTATTCGTCCTTATAAGCTATTCTGATTCTGTAAAAGGTAGTAATAATATCTAACTTAATATATTATATAGCTTTACAAAGCTTATTTAAGGTCTCTTAAATTAAGGGAATTAGGTATTTATTCTTGACTATAATAGTATTTAAGCCCTAGTAATCTATACAAAACTATAGATCTTCTTTAGATTTCTTAATAAATAAGACTAGGGCAGCAGTAAAGGACTTAAATATATAAATAAAGTTCTTTAATAGATAGTTCTTTAGTATTTTGTTTAAGACTTTTAATTTGTTTCTAGACATGCTATATAAGGCTTTAAATAGTAATTTAATATTTAGTAATAATTTAATCTTATAATCTATTCTAGGGCAATATAATAGAAGCTTATTAATAGTAGCTTTATTAAATAAAGATAAGAACTTATAATATTACTTAAGAAGTCTAGTCTAAGGATTTATAGTTTCTTTAGGTTTTAGGGCTTTCTTGATGTCTCTTAATAATATTATAAAGACTTTATAGTCTCTTTACTTGCTTAAGTAATTAAAGATTATTACTTTTATTATAATTAGTATTATAATTATATTTATAGCTTTTATTTGTCTTTAGACTTAGGGTTTATTATTTTGTACTTTTTATATAGTTTTAAAAGTAATAGAATATCCTTTATTCTTTTAAAAATAATAATTATAATAATA